GAAGGAAAGAAAAGAAGCACAGAGAAAGTAGCGATAAACTTGATGGCCATGTTTTGATTATATTCAGACGGTAATCCAAGCATGACGAGCTTTACCCACCAATTATGCAAATTTGGGTAAGGAAGATCTGAGATCCGCCTGGTAATTATTGACTGTAAGAGTACGATTGAGGTGTTGCGAATGAATTTTCGGCGATTACTTTTTTGGCAATTTTCGGCGTCCAAATGGTATAGCGAGAGTAACCCAAAATCTTTAAGATGACTTTTTTTTGTCATAATACGAATGTTTTCCAGAGAGGTACACACGTTAATGTTAGTGTCACTATCGTGCATGCATTTTTTAAGGTTAAACCCTCGCGTGGAACTAACAACTCATGTTTACTTTAAAGTGCACAATGTAAGCCAAAGAAATTCCACAGTTGTCATTGTCTTCCTTCCTTTATTCTTTTTCCTACTTGATTTTTAAAAGCAATAAATGAAAGGTAACTTATTCGTAATAACTTAACCAATTTACGAGGTGTATCAATAATTTATAATCTCATATAGAGATATTGGTGTGTTTTTCAAATTAATTAAAAAATTATTTATTGATTGATTGGTTTTTTTAACAAAAATTTTACATTAACTACATCCTTGCACTGTGGTTTTCTTTGATGCTGCTTGAAATAATAACAAAGGCTATTATTTTACATGTAAACGCAATGATTTTCGTATTTTTCAATTTTGCTGTTGATGTTGTTGTCGTCGTTGTTTTTCCTCACATTTATCTGTTGACTCGACAAGGATTTTGTGAGTAAAACAAATTACACTGAGCCGCTGAGCAGGTTGTTGATTGCACACGTGTGCCAAATATGCTTTTAATTTCGCCTAAAAAATTTCGAAAAGAGTGAGAGGTTGGTTTTCTGTTCCCCTCTGTCCAAAACTATAGAAGTACGAGCTAGGCGGGAGTCGCACGAAGGCATGGAGTGACCACAGAGGAGGAGGCTTCTTGCATATATAGATTGGAAACAATGGCTACAAAATCATGGAGTTAGATAATTTTAAGAGGAACAGTGATAACTTTTGGTGAATTTTAAAGCCTTAGATAATTTTTTTCCCCTCTATTTGAAATATATCAGATATGAATTGCTTAAACAATCATTTCGTTGTAATGATTCGTTTCATCGTAACACTTTTCAGTTTTATTTCAATTCTGCTTTCAAATCTGACGAACAAGGCTTCAGTTTCCCTAATTTCGATTTATTCTCACTGGCATGCAATCAAAGAAGCGATGAGCACTTTGCTGAACGCATCATAACAACTTAGCTCAGTTCAGTTTGAAACTGTTCCGTCTGCATTGATTCAAAAATCTGCTTGTCGAAGCCAGCCGATGCGTTACTATTTGCGCCGAGAAGTAGCATTTTCCAAGCGCAAATAAAGATCACTAATGTCGGTAATGATAAGACGAACATACACCACGCTGCGGACTCCAAGCTTTAATTTACCGCATGAGGCGATTTTTACCCGTCAAAGAACCGACAGCCCTATCGGAAGGCGGTGAAAGCTAACGTTATTTTTCACTAGTTTAAAAGGATGATACATCTACCACTGATATATGCGGAGTGTATAGACAATATGATGAATGGATTTATTTTCGCATAAAGTACTAAGGTAATGTCCCGAATTCACACATTTTCTACTAAAATCATTATACTCTACTAGATCTTGTGTTTCTCACATCAAAAGACTGAGGCAAGGTCGTCCTGTTTCACACGTTCTGCTTACACAGGTAGAAGTATAAACTGAGTCCTTTGATGTGGTTGCAGTCTCAAGGCAGCGAAATCAACGTCGCAAGTTTTTATACAAAATTAGAAATAATAATAATAAAAAAAGGATTTTTGCCTTCTTTCGAGGTAAAGGTATATTTACATTTCTGTTTTACCTGACGCGGAAAGTGCTTGATATCATGAAGGAATTGCGCCTGTTTATCTTCATTGGTGCAAAAAGATTCGCAGGGAGTAGTACCTCAGTAAGGGATTTTTTTGGAAAACCTTGGTTGGTTAAACAGCGTGAACCAGATTCAGCACGAGCATATTCATGAGTTTTTTTCACTATCGTCCCTTTTATTCTTGAAATGAAGGCATGTCACGCAGTCAAAGTCTAGAGGTGAGTTATGATGGAAGTGCCTTGTTTGGATAGCAAAATTCCTCGGTCTCTAGTAAAAAATTCTAAAGTGTATGAGGATGGCGTCGTCACTTGAACCATCAGGATGACACTGAGTATCACCTGCAGAACAATTAAACACTTTCGTCCAACAACACGCAGAGCCGCTTCTCTTTAACACTGCATTTGAATGACTCCCTATGATTGAGTTAGTTGAAACATTTTCATCAAACAGTTTGCTTTAGGAGCCAATGTTTGATCGTTTAGCCACCTAAACAAACAAAGCAAGCCAACGGCCTCGTTGTCATAACAGACACGTCATTACTTTTTCAGCGGTAATACACAGACAAACATTGGCTGCTCCTAAAGGCCTTCTTGTTTTTACGCGGAATAATCTTTACAAGGATTTACGTCGGAGTACCCAATAGTAAATATGGCCCTCAGAATGGTGGTTTTCTCTATCTTCATATTTTTGTTCTCTTGCACCCCTCGCCGAGCCAAACCCGACAATTGAAGCGATGATTAGGGTAAAAACGCTTTGTTCCTGAAAGGTCACAGTACTTGTTTGCATATATTTCGGAGCTCTGTTTTTCTGAGCAATTGTTATAGGGTCATAATTTTTTTAGCATGTTTTGTTTGCCACTTTTCTCTCTTTTCACTGTCGGAAGATCAATGGAAAACCGTCACCATATGACGCTGTATAGAATTGGCTGATAGGTTTTTATTATTAGGGGATGTTACTGTTAAATAGAGACATAGCAACTTCTCTTTGACGATTTATTGTAAGAATGTTTGGTTTTTATCATTCTAGGATTTATTTTTAATGCAGAGTTTACCACCCCTTTTGTAACATTCCTACTTGCAACCACAACAAACACTTACGTTTGCTACTACAACCTGCAAATGCGCCATCAGAATGCCAAACAAATGATTTCTCAAAAGTGACAAGTGCAAAGCAGTGATAACAGTGATAGTCTGGCCGACAAGGATACGATCCCCATAGATCTTTTCTGGGTCATTTGCGGTAGCGATTCAGAATCTGAGCGAAGAGTGTTACCGGTTATGCCTGAGATCATACGTAGGCTTCAAAACATGGGTCTTATTTTAATCCTTTTATTTGCGTCGTGGTGTACCATAATGTTCTTCGGGAGGACATTTAAAATTTCGTCGGTAGTCTCCACAGTAGCTGTATTTGTAGCCGGGGTGATAACTAGATTGTTTTTAAGGGATTGACTAAAGAAAAACGTTTTAGTGGTCTAACCAGGAGACAGATGTTGGCAAAATTGAAAATGCAGTCAAACGTAACATCGAAAGTAAGAAGCCTAAAGGGGAGAAATTAGTGTCATATGAAGGAAAAACACCCAAGTAATAGTTTTCTTTAGTTTCATTACGTCTCTGCCAGACAGTTAAGAAAAACTGTTAGAACAATTTGCAAACTACACTCCTTACGTTGTATAGATAAGAAACATCTGTTCAAAATTAAATCTGTTTATAATTTAAATTAATATACAAATGTTCCTTTGATTCATTAATTTAAAAGAACAAATGCCAGTTTACATTGATCTGAAACACAACAAGAGAGATAGACTGCAGAAAGAGAGCAATTTCGCCGACTGCCATCTTAAAGTTTTACAGCAAGGAAGGCTGGGGAGCGACTTGTACCAAGAGGGTGAGCGACGGTAAAAAAGAAGGAGAGGGGAGGGGGTTGGGCAATGAAAAATACTCCTTTCCAGACCCCTTCCCTTCATCGTCGACTCTAGCTCCCAATCAAACATGGCCGGTTGTATAAATGATCGCAAGCTTCCTAATGTTAACTTGGCCTAATAAGACGCCTGCACTGCAGCTTACAGAATAGATCGTCGGGACAAACTTTGAAAAATCATAGCTTGGCCCTAAACCTTGAAGTTACTGAGACTCTGGTTAGCTCGCCACACTTAAAACATAAACATAAATTACGTCATAAAGCAGTACATGAAGGAGTATCAACGTTTATAGGGGTCTTTGAAGATGGGGACTGGTGTATGTTATCACTTGTCATAAGAGAATAAGCAAAAAATCAATATATCTGGTCAGAAGGGACACTTATTTGGAAAGCCAAAGGCTGAGGCAAATAATTGATCTGCAAGACAATGGCACATTGTGATAGCAAAGATCAACATTGTTTCATCGTTTCATTAATACACAAGCTACTTAATGTTTGATAATCATTTCTGGTAATCTCTCTGGAGCATGAACACAACCACACATTAGAAGGAAACTTTTTTTGCATAACGAAGTTGAAAGAAACTGCGCATGAGCACACCATACACAGCGACAAAATGAGTGCACATGCTTGTTATGTGTGAGAAATTTTTTGGCGCGTAAAGGAATGGGGTCGACTATTTCTATGGTAACACAATGACTGCATTTATAAAATTCCCATTGTTTGTTTGTTTTTATTTTTGAGAGATAAGCACAAACAAAAATTGATAAGGTTCCCGTTTTCAGGAAAATTTCTGTCAAACCTCGTCCCTTTCTAATTCAACACAAAAAAACCCTGCGGTAATAGATGTAAATTTAGGGACAGAAGTAGAACATTCATAACAGTGTTACAAAGTTACCAGTTAACATGTCTGGATAAGTTTAAAACAGCTTACGATGAACGCTGCTTTCTTTTCATTCCTTTCATAAGAGAAAACTGATTAATTTTTACACTTGGTTCAGATCAGTAACTGTGTGTTTTTTTCGTCTCCCAACGAAACTCATTTACGATGGAATCACTAAAAGCTCCTCGAACGCGCCAAATCCGCCGAGCACACGCACTCATTTTGCCGCTGTGTCTGCTGAACCTCTGATTTAGCTCCGAAGGCTAGTAGCAGGTCATATGATAGCCATATTGCTAAGCATGCGGTTAACTTCACCGCTAACTGGTGGAACTGCCTTATTTGAATTTGACGCTTCACTGCAAATGCGCCAAAATAGATCTTCTGGAATTGCACCGTGCTCGCGTTTTCCGTCAAGAGTCTGCCACTTCTCCGAAATCATTTCTTTCACATCTCGGTAGTACATTTGCAGATTATAGTAGCATAGATAAATGTTTGTTAAAGCAGCGATAGAGAGCGCTAAGAATGGGCCCGCGATTGACGCATTTAACACTAGACCTAAAGTAACTAAGCCAAACATGCGAGTGATACATCGACAAGAAAGGCCCCCTACCAAACAGCCGTCTGTTAATATTGCCATTAGGAGTAGCTGAAAACCAACTAGAGAAATTTGAACACCGATGAACATCGGTGTGAGACAATAACGGTATTGGTTGAATACTTCAAGGCTCCATTTTTTTTAACATTTGCCTAAGTTTCCTTACACAGACAAGCATGAGAATACCCCACGGTGAATAATTATAAATGAGCAAGACTAACCCTATTAACAATACACAAAAGCATACTCCTCCTAAAATGACACCAACAACTATGACTAAGACAACATCCCAGAATAACACCCATAAAGCAATAAAAGGAGTTTTAGCTCGTTTCCATGCGGACCCATTTTCTCAATAGCGTAATGTGAAAAGAACTTTATAGATTTTGCTAGTGCTTTTTGGTGAAAGTTAATTAAACACGAAGCTCACTTGTAACTGTCTACTGCTAATTTTCTTAAGTGTCGGCGCATATCCTCTCCTACTGAAACCGTATTTTCTCTGCAAAAAGGGCGTTTAACTTGTCTAATGTCCTCTCCGCCAGTAATTAGGAAATCCTTAGGATTTGAGAGTAAAATCAAAATCAAAGGAGCGAGAGCCATTAGCCAGCTAAGAAAACCTTGAAAATCGAAAAGATATGAAAACAATGGTCCTACCAGAGATGCCTTTGGTTTTTTATGCACCTCCTTCATAAATTTACTTTCTACAATGTAATTTAATCCTAATCTTAGGTACACAAAAATTGGAATAACACAGTACCAGAGAAATGCAAATTTGGAATGAAATGAAAATAGTTCTGTACGTTCTTTAGTATAGTTTCTGAGAAAATATGAGAGGGTTATTGGATTTGGTTCGTCCAAATAAAGTAGACTTTGCACATGTTTGTTTGATGTATCCTCGCCTATTTGGGAATTAGCTTGCTGACTCTGAGTCAGAAGAGGTAAAGTTACAAGAGAAACTGAATCGTCATTTTCTGCATTGACATTTGCTTCAGCAGTTGATCCGTACCTGCTTATTTGTTGATTGCTCTGTTGATGATGGCTGCCTTCTGATTGTTGCTCGTTTTCGTGTCGCTCTTCCTTTGTACCCTCCTCTTGAAGATTGAAAATGGAATCCGGAAGAAAAAGGAGAAACGCCGGACAATAAAGCATCATTAGCACAGTCAAAAGGTTGAGGATGCCATTAAAAGCTTTTAACCAACCTCTAACTTGAACATCCAGCTCACATTGAATGTAAGCAGACTCCTCGGTTTCTTCTTTGCTAATCTCACAACACTGGAATTTGACATTTCCATCAAAAGAGCTCCATAAAAAGTCTTTAACATAATCTTCAATAATTGCAACACAAACAATATTCCTATCTGGAAGTTCACCTGAGTTTAACTGTGTCATATTCAGAGGCGCTCTTCCAACTACCTTGTTTTGACAGGATGAGTTTAAGTTCGCAAGGCACCCGCTTGGTTGATCTTCCAACAGCACATCCATACTTCTAGTTTGGTATTTAAGGAGGCCCAAAGACAAAATGTCATAGTCATAGGACAAAGACAACATTGGCTCGCTGATCAAACTCGCCCAAACCCATCTATTTGGGGGAAACTCGTTTTCCGGCTCTAATGGACGGTAGCTGTCGTTACGGAACTTCAAATCCAAGTAGACTACTCTAATACCCTTCTCGGAAGCCTTAACGCGGAATTCGGACGCAGTCCCTTTTCCAACTGGTAAGACCTTGCACTGAGCCTCACTGCAGTTCTCCGGCTTGGCTTGACAAGAAGAGAGAAAAAAAAGAAACACAGAGAGAGGAGCGATAAACTCGACAGCCATGCTTTGATTAGAGTCAGACGGTAATCCAGGCTATCTGCTTTTTTTCCTGTTCTGGAGCCACGAAGATCTAATATTACATTCACTTTTAGCTGAATCCTATCATGAGGTTAAATCGGGTCATCGTCTAAAAGTTATCGTTTTCAAAAATCGATTCATCGTATACGTATGGACGGGCAGAAACGATGCGAAAACGCCAAGTGAGGAAACGAATTTTTTCTCCGCCAAATTTTCAATTTGTCAATCGTGGGTGCACTGAAAAACAGCGAAATATTTGTCAACCTCAAAGTGTCAGTCACAGGCCAGGGATATACAAATTGAACAGTAGTTGAACTTGGAGACGCAGCTGAAACATAAATTTGAGAGTCATAATAGTTGTTGTCCGAGTACTGCTGAATAATGATTGTCAGGTACTTGGGTAAAATTAAATATTTTGGAAGGCCTCTACCTGCAAGACTCGTATTTAAAAAGCGAGTTCAGATTTTCATCATTGACGGTTTCCTTTTTAAAGGCATTGAAAATCATGTTATGCAAATTGATAAGTTTGTCGGATTTCACGCCCGACAAAAATATGTTGTGCTCTGGGAACATTTCGACGGCGCCCTCGAAGATTGGTAAGGCTTGACAAGATTTGGTCGGAAAAAATCACACTTGTCTCACGCAACTAATGACAGATTTTTTTACAAAATAAACAAAAATTTTGTGCAGTGCGCTCGGGCTCAATGAAATGAGAAAAGAAAGTCCAGAGTCTACTTGAACCTGTGAAATGTTAGTTTACCTCACGGTTTCTTGTCTAAGTCTGCTTGATTCACGCAAATATCAGTTGCATTTTGCGAAAATTTTTCCTTCACTGAGGAAAGTGTCGTCACTTGATGATTAGAACCGTTTCTAATTATAAGGAGGATTTTAGAAAAAAATGTGTTTTAGTAACGATAGCAATCAAAACATGGCCCTCAGTGTAATTTCGCTCTTTGTATAATTTGCATTTATTGCACTCTTTGCCAAGCACAATTTGACAATCACAACGACGATTCATGTCAAGTTCTTCTATTTGAAAAACGCTTTGATCCCAAATTTCACCCCAGTGATTTGGAGAAAGGTCTTCTTGAGTTTGAATATCGGGAATGACAGCAACCATGCGCTGGGTCACAAGACCGTTTTCTTCAATAGTTCTATATGACTTTTTCCCCGCATTATTCACTTTGGACGTCCATTCAGTAAGTGCTATGAACAACATAAGTTGCTTAAACTCCAAACACTAAAAGACATATTTCATTGCTTTTCTTTCCTTCCTTTGTTTGTTTTGTTTTTTCTTTTGTTTGTAAATATCAGATACGCCCTAGTTTAATAAGCATTTCATTACAGTAATTTGTTTCATTGTAACTCTTTTTTTCTAAATTTTAATTCTGCTTACAAATCTGGCGAACAAGGCTTTAGTTTCCTTTAATTTCGATTCATTCACAATAGCAATTAAAGAAGCGATGAACACTTTACTGAATGCATCATAACGACAGCAACTTAAGACAGTTCAGATTGAAACTGTTCTGTCTGTACATACTTGTCTGTTACTGGTAATCGGTTTGCGGTACAATCACTTTGCATCCTTGTTAATTACAAAAACGGATGAAAGACCTCTGTGGATCATCAAGAGAAATATGACGCCGATATGAGTGCGTCAGAATCGCTGCCCACTCACTCCAAGAGGCATACTCGATTAGTGCTCTGGTACGTTCTTATCGAAAATATTTTAAGGTTCATTTCTCTGTTTAAATTTTACTTTGTAAAATGTAGAACTCAAGCAAACTGCTGAATGCTTCACATTCTTTTGATCAAAAAAACTCAAGATCGAGTACAATTGTTACACTCCATGATAGTAAACGTGAGCATTAAGCACCAAAAACACGCTAATGGAGGTTTAGTGGGTACTAGCGAGAGTCCCGTAATTGTATGTGTGATACGTTTAACTGTGCTCAATTTTGCCGTGCAGACAGTTTATATTAATCTAAAACACAACAGAAGAGATAGCCAGCAGAAAGAGAGTAATTTTGGAGGCCGAGTTTCAAGTATTAAAGCTACAATCTTAAATTTTTACAGCAGTGGAAGGGCAGTGGAGGGCTGAGGAGAGAAAGAAATTTGTACCAAGAGGGTGAGCGACGGTCAAAAAGAAGGAGAGGGGAGGGGGTGGGGCAACGAAAAATACGCCTTTCCAGGCCCCCTTCCCTTCACCGTCGACTCTAACTCCGAATCAACTGATGGCCGGTTGAATAAACGATCGCGAGCTCCCTAAAGTTAACTCGCCCTCATAGGACGCCTGCACTGCAGGCTACAGAAGAGGTCGTAGAGAGAAATTTTGAAAAATCATAGTTTTGCCTCGAGGTTACTGAGACTTTGGTTGACTCGCCACGCTTTAAACATGAACGTACATTACGCCAAAAAAACAATACATGAAGGAGTATCAACGTTTGTGGGGTCTTTGAACAAGGGGACTGGTGTATTTTATCACTTTTCAGAAGAGAATAAGCAAAATATCAATATATCTGGTCAGAAGGGACACTTATTTGGGAAGCCAAAAGCTGAGGCAAATAATCGATCTGCGAGACAATGATACATTGTGATGGCAAAGATCAACATTGTTTCATCGTTTCATTAATATACAAGCTACTTAATGTTTGATAATCATTTATGGTAATCTCTTTGGAGCATGAACACAACCACACATTAGAAGGAAAACTATTTTTTTGCATAACGAAGTTGAAAGAAACTGTGCATGAGCAGGTCACACAGCGACAAAATGAGTGCACATGCTTGTTATGCGTGAGAAATTTTTAGGTGCGTAAGGGAATGGGGTCGACTATTTCTATGGTAACACAATGGCTGCATTTATAAAATTCCCATTGTTTGTTTGTTTTTATTTTTCGGAGATAAGCGCAAACAAAAACTGATAAGGTTTCCGTTTTCAGGAAAATTTCTGTCAAATCTCGTCTCTCTCTAATTCAACACAAAAAAACTTTGCGGCAATAGATGTCAATTAAGGGACAGAAGTAGAACATCCGTAACAGTGTTAAAAAGTTCGTGGCGACAGCTACCACTGAAGATGTCTAGATAAGTTTAAAACAGCTTACGATGAACGCCGCTTTCCCTTCATTCCTCTCCATAAGAGCAAACTCGATCAAATTTCACACTTGGTTCAATTCAGTAAATGCCCAGAAAGTGTAAAACGATGTTTTTTTCGTCTCCCAACGAAATTCATTTACGATGGAATCACTAAACGCTCCTCGAACGCGCCAAATCCGCCGATCATGCGTACACATTTTGCTGCTGTGTCTGCTGAACCCCCGATTTAGCTCCAAAAGCTAGTGGCAGGTCATATGTCGGGCTCTCTGCCTAGGAAAGGGTAGAGAGGCAGAATAATGATCTGTGAAATTATTTTCAGCAATACCAAAGGAAATAGAAAGTCATGAATGCAAATTACGAAATATTTAATTCAGTACAGAGGCCTTGAAGTACATAATACTCAGTCAAGCAACGATTAATAAGTGACGGCAATGATTAATAACTGATGGAACATAGCACACATAGCGTCAGGACTGACATTGGCAAAATCAATAAGTTATCTAATCTTGCTTCTAGTTCATATCTTATAAAATGAGAATGTCCTTTTAGAGTACTTAGAAGAACTAAGGAATGAATATGAAAAATAGTAGAAGCTGGGAAAGCTGATGCGCCCTTCCTCACGAAATCAAGCAAAGGATGAGAAAGGGACGCACGACGATCGCGGCACTTTCCGAATATCATAACCCTTCATTGTATTAGTCCAAAGTCAGTTCATTCGATAAAGTGTCCTTTTGCAACAGATTATACATCTCTACCGCGGTATTTTCCTTGTACTTTATAACCGCCTCCTCGATTTCTCTAATCATTTTCATCCTTGTCTCACCCGTAAATCGCTTTTCATTTGTCAATCCCTTGAAAAAAAACCTAGGAATAACTCCGCTTAATAACACAGCAATCGTTGATGGCACTGCTAAAATGCTGCTCGCATCAATTACCAGAAATACAGAGCAGAAAACCAAAAATAGAAATATCAAAATAATAGCCATATTGCTAAGCATGCGGTTTACTTCACCCCTAACTGGTGGAACTGCCTTATTTGAATTTGACGCTTCACTGCAAATGCGCCAAAATAGATCTTCTGGAATTGCACCGTGCTCGCGTTTTCCATCAAGAGTCTGCCACTTCTCCGAAATCATTTCTTTCACATCTCGGTAGTACATTTGCAGATTATAGTAGCATAGATAAATGTTTGTTAAAGCAACGATAGAG